TTTGAAACTTGAATTGAGGTCTCTTGAGTCTGAAATGGGCCATGCACATGTAAGTGTGGTGGCTTGGTTTCCAATGTTCCCAAGAAGGGCCTCCAGTCACTCTTACTTCTTCTCTGAAAACAACAAAAGAAGCTTCTGAAATATTTGTCTAGGAAATCTGTATGATGGTTGGTGACCTATCTTAAACCCCTTTCAACGATGATTCTTTTGTCAACATTTTAGTCAGCACTGACTTCAGCAGGACAGACCCTTGAAGGGAGGAATCACTCTTGGTCAGGGCACCTAAGACCCTGGTCAGTTTTGCTTAGGTGTCCCTGTGGCTCTGTTCACTCTGTCCAGGCTCTGGGCCATTGAATATTGGCATCATAGGTTACTGACTCCTTTCCAGGACATTGATCTGTTTCATTTGTGTGTGAAGTATTCAGTTTGACTGAAAAAATTCAAGACTCATAAACAACCTTGAAAGGTTGCTGCTTCGCTTTGGATACAGTGTGTGCTCAATTAATTTAGTGTATTGATCAGAGCTCTAATGAAGTCTGTGAGCTGCTAAACTGGGAAAGATTAAAGGCAGTACAACAAGGGGGTGGCAGAGGATGAGGTGCTTAGATAGCATCACGGACTCAATGGACATGTGCATGCTTGCATGCTAAGTTGCTTCAGTCATGTCCAACTCTGAGACCCTATGGACCATAGTCCGCCTGGCTCCTCTGTCCATGGGATTCTCCAGGCAAGAATACTGGAGTGGATTGCTCTGTCCTCCTCCAGGGGATCTTCCTGATGCAGGAATCCAACCTGCGTCTCTTACATCTCCTGCATTGGCAGGTGGGTTCTTTACCACTAGCACATGGATTTGAGCAAACTCCAGGAGACAGTGGAGAACAGAGAAGGCTGGTGTGCTGCAATCCATGGGGTCACAGAGTCAGACATGACTTAGCAACTGAAAAACAACAACACATCTTAAATCAGTGAATAAATTGGGCTGGTTTTATTTCCCAGAAGAGAGTATTTGGAGAGGGGGGTGGGGAGAAGATGAAAAAACAATCAGAATACAGTTATGCAATCTGTTTCCAGTTTCCTGAGATGATTTATCTAGTGTTTCCTAGATGATTCTCTTACTGGTGAAGAGTTCCTTCTTTCACTATCTGCTCCCCCTGCCCGCCATGTCTTCCTCTGCAGCTCTCTCTCCCTCCTCTAGGAAACAATTTTTTATTGTCGCTTTACTTTTGCTGTTAAGGGAATTAGTCTTGAGAAGGTATTGTCTGTGACTCAGAATTCTAGAGCATTGATTCATTTCTTACCTTTTAGGGCTCTGTTTCATTAGAATAAAAAAATAATGGACTTTTCACATAGGCATTGGATTAGATTCCCAAGGGTCAGTTCAAGCTGTTGCTGGGCATGGGGCCACATTTTATAGCAAGACTTATTTCAGTTTTGAATGATTTGGTATTTGGCTAAAAGCACTGAAGACTGATTCCAGAGAACCCAAACTGGCAGCACATTTGTTCCTTTTTTTTTTTTTTTTAAGTTTTGGAGTTGGGAAACAGGATCAACCCAGAAAGGGATCCCAGAAGCGGGAGAAAGGCTGTTGTACTCTTAGCAGAGCATTTTAGCCCAAGTGATTAGTGGTATTTGGCCCTGAGGAAGAGGCCTCTAAAAATAACTGGTGAGCAGAGTTTGCAGTCAGGTCCAATTTCAGCTCGAGAGGCCTTGCCCAAGGAACTGCTGGCCTGTCCGCAGTGTCAGTAGCAAAGGGCCTGTGTCGTGCCTGATACCTGCTCACAGGGCTTTGGTTTTTTTCCTTCCATATATATTATTCATGGATTGAAGAAATCAAAATGGCAGACGGTAAAGTTATATTTTTGTTCTTTGGGTTAAAAGTGGTTTGGAAACTAGATGGCAGTTTTTAGCTTGATTTTTTTCAGTTGTGCGCTGTTCAGATATTTTTGGCTAACTGCTTTGACTGCATCTTCTATGTTTTCTATTTCAAAGTCCTGGAGATCTCAGTGCTTCAAGTAGTTTAATTTTTCATGGGCCAATCTGTCTTTAATATTAATGTTAGGTTTTAGAGTCTTAACCTAGAATATCTTTTATTGTATTGTAATATCAGACAACATTTTACAAACTTCAGATAAATGAACAAGTGGTTTGTCTTGGTCTTAGAATTTAATTACAGTGACTTTAAAGAATTGTGTGCATTTATATTTCATGTAAAAATTTTGGAAATTTAAAGGCTTTATGATTCCTGTCTTGTATTAATGAACATACTTAGCTGGCTCAAGCAGAGCCTTATATGTGGAAACAAACCTAATTTTTGTGAAGCAGACAATAAATGCAAAGAAAGGACTTTGGGATTTTATTTTGTTTTTTCAAATTGAATCATTAACCTTCAACCTTTCTTTAATGGTGTATTGATTTACATTTTTGTATGTGTTTGTTTTTGCTTTCCTTTGTGAATTAAGATAGTCTTTTTAATGGAAGGCAAGTTGTATTGGCTCATTATGTCGAAAGTGTGTTTAAGAAACATAAAATAGACATATTGAAACTGCTTTCAGCTCTCAGCTACCTAAGCAGTCACTGGAAGGATTCTATTATTAGTGTGGAGAATATGAGTCTCTCTGCTTTGAACACTGTTTTAAATAAATGGTGAAAATGGATCACTTGACCATCCTGATAAAGAATATGAGATCTGTTTCTGATTTTTAGTTCTTTTTTAAGGCACTTCTCCCCTTCTCCATGGACTGCTTATCTACAGAGTGAAGCAACGTCAGCTGTTACTTCTGACCCACTTTTATAACAGTTCTTGGCTCCAAGGGGGTGATATTCTGTAATGCAAAAAAGTAATCACTTTGATGAATTGCTTTTATGGTTTTTTAAAACTTTAAATGTGTATACAGTTTGGAGTATAAATATGAAATCCCTAGAATAATGCTTACCAAAGCTCATAAATGGTTGATTTGTAATTCACTTAGTTAATAGTTCCAGTTACGTAATTGACCAGATGCTGGGGTACATCTTCTATTTTGCCTTTCATTAACCACATAAAATTTCTGATGGTCCCTATCCCCAGCTTCATCTAATCTTAGAAAAGAGGGACAAACTACTGGATGTTTTTCCAGAATATGTTTGGAACAGAGTACTCATTTCAGATTTGCTTGGGGAGTTGTAAACTCTCTTGAAGGGTTTATCTTACTGTGGTTTTTTCAGTCTGGTTGGGCAGAAACTGATCTGCCCTTTGGGACTGAGCACACTGTATTTACAAAGTGATACATCAAGAATGTGTTATTTGGTGTCAGTTAAAAAGTTCCACTAAAAAGATGATTCAGAAAAGACACCTTTCTATAATTTACTGTTTTGTTCCTTCATGGAATTAGTAAATAGTAACAGTAAAAAGATTGATGCTATTGGAGTAATACCTCATTTATTTGACATTATGAAGGGATGGATAAAATAATGCTAATCATTTCATGTTCTAGCTAAGCAACGTTTACCCTTTCTTTGACATTTACCTTTTAAATAATAAATCCATTTAATTTAAAAAATTTGAATAAAAATCTTTCCAAAATTTGTTATATAGTTTTTGCACTGTTAAACAGTTTGAAACAATGGTTTAATGGCAGAATTAATTTGAATGTCATTAACTTTGTACTAAAAGATTATTTTAACAGGTAAGGACTATAAGTTTTCTAGTTAAGGTCTGGTAACCAATGAGCATCAATCATGAATGGCTTCCTGTCATTCTTTTCAAGTTCTTGTGTCTACTCTTGCTGTATTCAAATATTTCCTAGGCACTTTCTTCCATCAGCACTTTATTGCTGTAACTCCTTTGGGTTAGGCTGTCTTTAATGTCTGTTTAATTTTGTTCAGTGAGTTAGGAAACTTTTTTATTGTTTTAATTGTATTGGAGTCTAATTGATTTGCAATATTGTGTTAGTTTCAGGTATACAGTGGAGTGATTCAGTTACACATATACATATATTCCTTCTTTTTTAGGTTCTTTTCTCATATAGCTTATCACAGAATATTGAGTAGAGTCCTCTGTGCTATACAGTAGGTCCTTATTGGTTATCTATCTTATATATAGTAGTGTGTGTGTTCATCTCAAGCTCCTGTTTTATCCCCTGCCCTCCAACCCTGGAAGTTAGGAAAGTTGATTGAAGTTGTTAGAATCCTCTGAAGTGAATATTGGCGAAGGAAATGACAACCCACTCCAGTATTCTTGCCAGGGAAATGCCATGGACAGAGGAGCGTGGTGGGCTAGAGTTCATGGGGTTGCAGAGTTGGACGTGGTTTAGGGACTGAACAACAACATAAAGTATATTAAATGTATCAAATGTGATGTATGACAGTTCCGGTGGACAGGACCCTACAAAGGTGTTTCTGCATCGAGATCGATTTGAAAACTTTCCCCTGTGTCTGTGGGTCCCAGCGGATCTTATTGTAGATGGGGCACTGAACTGCACTGGTCAGCTTCTCTTCTTCCCTGGCCTCTATTTCCTATAAATAATTTCCTTCCTTCTGTGTCTCTCTGCCTAAGAATATGGAGCATTTGGGGGAAAGCTTTTTTCTATGGCAGTTAGAGTTTTCCAGATTCTACAGAAACTAGATGGAGCAGAAAAAAAGGCTTTGGCTACCTCTGTGATCTTAATAAGCTGTTGATATACTCTGAACTTTGAAGGAGGTTCTATTTAGGTCGTTTGGATATAGAACTTGGAACATACATACCAATTTTTATTTTAAAAAATAGTCATTAGTAGTTTATTTCTTTCATTGCTTCAACATTAGGGTCTTAGGTATGTGGTTTTGTGTCAAACCATAAGTCTTTTCCATTTTCAAAATCTTTGTGTAACGTGATTTAAGAATTTAAGAGACAACTAACTTTGAAGTGATTTAGCATTGTAAGCACTATCATAAATTCCTCGAGAAATATTTCAGTGAAAAGAGGTTCAATAAAGCTTTTTCTTCTTATATAATGACATTTTCCCTCTTTTATTTTTTAACAGAGACAAAGCAGGGAGGACTCAAGAACGGGAGGAAAGGAGGACTTTCTGGAAGTTCATTTTTTACATGGTTTATGGTCATCGCGTTGCTCGGAGTTTGGACATCAGTAGCTGTGGTCTGGTTTGATCTTGTTGATTATGAAGAAGTGTTAGGTAAGGGTCTTCATGTTGTTTCTTATTAGTACTGTTAATTTCTGTAGCCTTCCAGTGGTTCTCAATAGGGAAGGAAGAAAAGGGGACATTAGCAGGGTTAGCTTGGAGTGATGGCTTCAACTTCTTTGAACATGATCTGTTGAAGTAAAAATAGACTTACATTGTTTGCACAGAAAAATTGTATCAAACAGTACATACTCCCATGACATGCAATAGTCTATCATTTCTATTCCATTTTGTTATATTATGAATTTTTAAAATAGGTCATGAGCCACTGAATTTATTCAAGGACCCATGAGTGGATCATAAACACAACCAGCAAGACCCTGACTTAAAGAAAGCATTTCAAAGCATACCCTTCTGTGTCCTCATTGAAATTGTGGGAGCACAAGTGTGTGTGTGAGTTCGTATGTAGGTGTACCCTGTACGGTGTTTGGAGGAAGCTGTCATGCTACTTCTGATAGTTGTTGTCCTTCCTTCTCCTTTTCCCCTTTCTCTCCCCATCATCACTGCAGTTTTTCATGATTTTTTTACTTTCGTGATTCTTTTGTTTCACTTGGTCAAGTCTCTTATTTTTGTAATTGAGGTAAAATTCACATGACATAAAATTCAACATTGTAAATATGTAGAAACATAGAATTCACTGGTTTTTAACTTTCTGTGCTGTCATCATTATTAATTTCAGAATATTTAAGCGCAAGTAACAATTTCGTGTTTTTACATGCATGCAGCCAAAGCAAAGGACTTCCGTTATAACTTGTCAGAGGTACTTCAAGGTAGGCTCTTGGAGATGAATTTTAAGTCTACTTGTGTTAGTCTCTAAAACTGCACCCTTAGGCTACTATTTTAGTTATCACCTGCATTAGAGAATGTAAGTGATGGGACCAATTTTCCCTTTTAAATTTCTCAGAAAGTATAGTTTCTGTTTGTTTTTTTTTTAATGTTCTTTGAACTGTACTATATGTAGCCTCAACTGCAGACCAGTGCTTTTCATTTATATTTTCTTAGGTATAGAAATGATAACTTCCTTGTCTCTCACTGTTATCACTTTCAATATATATGTGCTTTGTAAACCAGACTTCTACATAGCAAGTTAAATGTTTTCCAAAGTAGGACAAGGGCTCTGGGAGGGTCCGAGTTGGTCATACCTATTCTACTCCCAAAGTTCTTCATGCTGTTATGCAAAGTTTTAATTTACTTTTTAATAAGAAATGGTGGCAGTGTTGCCAGCTAGTATTTTTGTACTGTTAGTCTATTTGTGAATGTGGTTTAAAATATTGTTTAAAAATGTGAAATTAATAAACCTCTTCACATCCATTGTCCAGTGATGAATTATAAATCATGTCAATTTTTAGATGTTTTTAGGAAGTTGAATGTGTTTGACTCACATTTGAAATGCTGAACATAACAGTGCTCCGAGATGATAAAACTTTATTATGTCTTAAAATTCATACTTACTCTTTTTGAAGGAGGAAGTCTCTGCTAATATTGGCTTTTCAGCTTGTCTGCTTTAAGTCTTTTTTTCCTTAGTAATAGATGACTGGTGCTAGTTATGTTTTTAAGTAGGATAACTAAGTGTTCCTTTGTAATTTCAAAAGGCCAGTTTTACATACTTTATTTCCAGAACAGTCTTTTTTTAAAGGTTGATTCATGATGCTTGTCATAAGTCTTTATTATAAAATATAAAGTTAATCTATCCTTTTATTTTTAGTACCTTTACTTGATGTGAATTATATGTAGTCTTTGAGACTCTATGGTTTGAGAATCTATGGGTATTTAGTTTTTAATATTGATGGTATGAGGAACTTCTATATTATCAAAACATTAAATTGCATGTAACTGCTAGAAGTAGATCCATATTGTTCCTTATATATGTTGAAAATTTTATCTAAAATATTTTTAGCAATAAAATTTAAAAATATTGTTCTGAAATGATTAAATATCAGGGTATTGTTAAGCCCTGAAAGAAAATATTATCTCAGTTATATTTCTTATATTTGTTAGGTGAATATTTCCTTCATCTCTAAGTGAACTGTCTTCATTTTTAAGTGAGATTATCATTTAGCACAGCTTTTCGTTATGAAAGGAGCAAAGAGTTGCCTTGCTTGGTAGCATTAATAACTAATATGCAGGACTGTAAGAAGTAGTAACACCTTATTAAATTTGGTTTTCCTTTTGTTCCCATATCCTTCTTTGCTTCTCTTCTTGTAGGAAAACTTGGAATCTATGATGCTGATGGTGATGGAGATTTTGATGTGGACGATGCCAAAGTTTTATTAGGCAAGTACACATTTTTTTAAAGTTAGTGATACTAAAATATTGGAAGCAAAATAATATTTAAGTTTTAATAGTGTCTGTGTCAGTCATTTACATTTTATGGAAGATATTTTCCCACATTATATATTCTTGTTAGGATGAAATGAATAGCTTAATTATTTTTCCATAAACTGTCACATTTCAAGTTACTTTTGCAAATAGATAAATATATAGCTCCTGCACAGATGTTCTTAATTGGTATCATTTCATATGTGTTTTTAGATTTAAAGCATTGTATATTTTGAACGTAGCATTTGAAAATTTAATGTCCTAGTCTGTTTTCAGATATGGTAGTTACAGCCACTCTTTAGCATCATTTGACATATTTCACGTCCATTTGAAAGTGAGTTTCTAAAAGCTTACATAAATTCATTTTGAAATAAAGTAGTGGTAGTAAACATCTCGAAATGTCCTATGAAGGTTTGGAAGTTAACATTAAAATATAAACTAGTGGTCTTTGGCCAGATTACTTGATTTTTTTTTTTTTAAGTCTTGACGCTTCTTTTTTATCACCAGAAATACCTGTCTTAATCATTGAGATGTTTTTTGTAATAAATGAAGAGGTGATATTCTTTCATTTATTTTAACATGCTGTCATGCTATAAAAGATGGTGCTAATTTTAAGATACAAATTTTATATAATCTGGCCTGATGAGCTACGTATTTCTGCTTGTCAAACAGCATCTCTTCCTTTGTTTCGTATATAGTATAGTATGTATCAAAACACTTTACACTGAAGTCTTTAGAAAAATAACAAATATGGTAAGGTATTACATACCAAGCTTAATAGAATAATAGCACAAAGGAATTCTTGCACAATTTTGTGTATATTTTATGGATATGAAAAAATGGGAGATACTACATCTGTAACTAATGAAATATAATAAAACTTAATTTTGACTTTACTGTATGTTATCTTGTTATTGCTCAGTGAGAATTATATTTGCTACTTAACAGTGAAAGCTTCCAGTACCCATGAAATTTCTTTTCCTGTCTTAACCATAATAGAATTTTCTATATAATTTTGTCATTACGCATCTAAATTTGGGTTTCTATAAATACAGTAAGTCCTCAGAAGACTATAATCCTTGGCATGTGAAAGAAAGAAAATAATATAAAACATATCAACAATGCTGATTTGCTTGCCTTTAAGTGATTTATTACTCTATTTTATTACTTTTCTGTAAATGACAAGTTCTGAATAGCAGAGGTTTTTATTTTAAAAATAGCTTCATATGGGCCATGTTTCCTTGTTTTAGAAATATTACTTACTACATTTGGTTGCTTTTTTGTTTTTGTTTAAGGAGGGAGGTGCTTAAAATCAGCTATCTGGTCTATTTGGAAACACCAACTATTAAAAATTAAAATGATATTTCTTCTATAGCACGTATTTATTTCTACTGCAAATTCACATTAATAAGTTGATTTTTAGAATTTTAGATTTCAAAAATTTTTTCCCCTTAGTATTTTTAAGCAGCCATTAAGAGTTTAGCTGTAATTTAGAACATTCTCCTTTGCGGGTAGCCATGTATGTGGAATGGGCAAATGGTAGTCTGATCTTTTTACAAGAATCGTATGCTTGGAGTAGAACCCAGTTGGAGAACGGGAAGGTTCATTTGGTAATTTGACGATTACATGCAGAAAGGCTATGGCATACTATTTTACTGTATTATGTGTACTAGTTCACAGTTGGATTGTGGCTTTGGTAAAGATGAAGGAAACGAATGTGAACTGTTTGTCCTCTAACCTTATTCTGTAGCATTTGAATTCTCTGCGTGAAATACAACCTTGACGGGAATTGAATTTTATGACTAAAGTTCTTTTCTCTGTTGTGAGGTTGTTGTCGCTGAGTTGTGCCTCTGTTACTGGAGGGTGATTGCAAGAACCAGGTGAATTTTGGGGGGGCTCAGGCACTGCCGGGCTCTGTATGCTCAGGGAGCGATTGTGTACCCCAAAAAGAGCTAGACCTTGGGATATACTCTCCTTGGAGAAGCTGAAGCTCTAGTTTAACAGCTTTGGATTCAGGCAGGGGAGATGCCCAAGAAGGATGAGAGGAGGAAGTCAGAGATTAGGTGAGAGCTTGGCAGGGCAGGTGTGATGATATTGCTAGTTATGCTGAACTTCCATAGGTTTGGCATTTATTTCATTAGTATTTCTTTCTGGAGTCTTAAATTTGTATGTATCTAAATTTGATCCATTTCAGGAAATGTATACATTCATATTTACATTTCTTTCACATTTCAAAGTTTGGCTTTTCTTTTAAAATATAAAGAGAAAATGAAAAACGTGAGTATATCAAGATCAATAGCTATCATTCATTTTATTATTTATTTCTGGCCATGGCCCTTATGGTATACTTTGAAAATGTTCTAAGCTTGGTCTTGTTTATATGGTTTCCTAGTTTTGTGGCCACATTATCTAAAATAAATGTCTTTGATTTAGGTTTGGATGATTGAAAGTTATACTGTCCAAAAATGTATTCTTTGAAAATATGTTTCCCAAGTGAAATCAATAGGAAAGAGGAATAAATACTGAGTAACATTTTCTTAGAGTAACATGACACATGGTTATCCTCTTGTCCTGCGACTGGTACTCAGCTGGCATCAGGTATGGCTAGAGAACAAAAGGGAAGGTCATTCTTAGAGCCCTGACAAGTATTTGTAGATTGGCAGATGCATGAGTGTGCAGAAGGGAAGGCTGGCTCTTGCCTGTCTAAGGCGCTCACCCTGCTCCTTGGTTCAGGCCTTGTCTTAGAGACAAAGAATTGTATACCCGGAACATATTTTCTTTTTCTCTTAGGACTAGTTCTTTTGTCTTAAGAACCACAGAAAGGCTGCATAGTTGGTTAATTAATTGTTTTCAAATGTTTCTGCCCATTTGTTGCGTACTTCAGCCTGTCATACTGAGGGGTAGTAAAGTTTTATATTTTATATTCAATACTTGAAAGTACTTATATTGGAAAATGGAGAAAAAGAAATACATTTATTCTCAATATGTGTTAGTCGCTCAGTCGTGTCTGACACTTTGCGACCCCGTGGACTGGAACGTGCCAGGCTCCTCCGTTCATGGGATTTTCCAGACAGAATATTAGAGTGGGTTGCCATTTCCTTCTCCAGGGGATCTTCCTGGCCCAGGGATTGAACCCAGGTCTCCTGCATTGCAGGCAGACTCTTAACCCCTGAGCCACAGGGGATGACCATTTATTCTAAATATACAGCTTTTATGTATCGCTCTTTTTGAACAAGAAGAAACAATATTATTTCCATAGGGTCTTGAGTGGGAAGACAGATCTCTGTTCATAGCTTTTGTGAACTCTTCAATTAAATGAAGAGACATTCTGGGTTGATCAAAAAGTTATTTGAATACCAGCAGCAGTTTGTGTCCCCCACCCCACCCCAAATACATGACGAGTGGTGTAGTGTAGTTCTTCTGTGGGCTAATACAGAGAAAGTTTACTGTAACCTTTAATATTAGACTAGTTGTCTTATTATTATCCCTTACCTGCCCATCTCAATTGCCAGTAGTTATGCTTTGGGGACAAATTTTGTATTGTAGTGCCAGGAATACCGAATTAGGTGGTTCTAACCTGTAAAGCTCTTAAATCATGGATGTTCACGTTTCTTACAGCCAGAACCCTCCAGCCTGATTTTTTTTTTTTTCTACCCTATCAAAATTATAGAGCTTGACAGTGTTTGTGGACTTTGAGACCTGCTGGAGGCATGAGACTAGTCATACTCAAAGCCAATCCTTCACAGGAAGAAAGCAACTGATAAAAACAATATATATGTTGCTTTCTTTCCATCATGGGGGTCTCATCAGGGCCAAGACTTAAAAATAACAGGCATCAGAGTTCTTTGCAGTAGAAGCTAATTTCAGGAGCTGATAAGTAGAGAACTCTGAAATGTTCCTATTGCAGGTGACTAATCACATTTCACATTGGTAGGCTGAATGAATTGTTATTAATTCTGGCTGACTCTTACTATTTGTCAGAATTATAGGACCATGAGTCAAGTAATCACAGCATAATAAAGCTGACATCTTACAGTGTTAAAATTTAAGTTGATTATCTGGTAAAATTAGAGTGCACTGGTGCCCATTTTTGGAAGCTGAACAGTAAGCCTGCTAATCATGTTAATTCCAGAGTTTCCCAAATTAACTCCAGCTCCTGAAGGGAAAAAAATTGATTAAATGAATGTTTCTATTTTCAGTGAATATTTATTGGTGTATGTAAATATTTGCATAATCAACTCTCGATAATATCTGGTTGCTAAATGAGGAGAGGTGGGGCTTGTTGGAAGTGTCTTTTTATCCTCATATTACTTTTACTCACTTTTCCCATTGAAGTGGGTGAGTCAGTTTTGGCTGGTGCAATTTTGTGTTTTTCGGATTCTTGATTCTCTGATGAGAAACCCAGTGAGGGACTGGTAGGAAGGCTGAGGATTGATCCAACTGCCTTTCCTTTAGTCCGTATGATTGAGAGTTGATTGTAAGGTGTGCATCTTAACCCATTCCTTTATTTTCCAAAATGTCTTTTCTGTAAACGTCCTTGACCGTGATGCACATCCTTTTTTGAGATCACTCTTCCAAGGCTTCTTTTTCCCACTTAACTGCTCTCATTTTCTCTTTCTCTCTCCCTTTATCCTTATGTAGGCCTGACCAAAGATGGCAGTAATGAAAATATTGATTCTCTTGAGGAAGTCCTTAATATTTTAGCAGAGGAAAGTTCAGATTGGTTTTATGGTTTCCTCTCATTTCTCTATGATATAATGACTCCTTTTGAAATGCTAGAAGAAGAAGAAGAAGAAAGCGAGACCGCAGATGGCGTTGATGGGACGTCACAGAATGAAGGGGTTCAGGGCAAGACTTGCGTCATCTTGGATTTACATAACCAATAACTTTGATGCAGGGGCTGAAGTCACTGGCTTATGAACCCCTGCAGCAGTCTCCTTTTTCTTTCTCTCCTTGGTTCACCCAGGGCTTAATGTGCAGTGGGGCAGCTTGATGGGACAATACAAGGCAACCATGTGATCTTTCCCCCAGTACAGCGCCTAATTAGTCCCTTGCTTGACTTTCCCGCTTGAGGAAAGCAGCATTCTCCTCCTAGTGGTTCACAAGGTGCATTGAGAATGATGTTCTTGGTAGTATAATTGGTTTCTGTATCGTTTTGTTTCAACTTATGTGTTCACTGAACTAAATTCAGAAACTTAATAGCAGATTGTTTTGTGATTAACCCTTGCTGCCTGTCCTTCTAACATGCTATTCATTAAGATGATTACAGTGGAATTGATTATAAATATATTGCTAGCATGATTCATGCCTTCAGTGCTTCTCTGTTGATCCTTAACATGATTGATGTGTAAAATGATGGCTCTTTAAAAAGCTGATACTTTTTATTGTAATTTGTTTAGGTTGATTTGTCAGATGGATTAATAACAAATTGCAGTGTCAACTTCTGTATTCATGGTGCTTTGAAAATAATTTGAAAATAACCCCATGTTGTTGCCTTAGGGTAGTTCAATTGCTGTATTCAGATAGTAGTGTATCTGAATCTTTCTCTCTATGAAAGCAAAATTTATTTTTAATTTCATTTCCAAATATACATTCAGAGAAAGTAATTTGTATTTTTCTTAAAGGAGGCTTATTACACAGGAAGGAAAATGTGAATATGTATCTTAAAGAATGTTGTACATATTAAAATTATTCATCCTAAATTACGGTCTTTTTCCATTTTTTCCTATATTACCTTATTAATTGGCCATCAACTTTGGCTTAGGTATAATATGGTTTTTAAAATTAAATTCATTGAAGTGGTAATTCTTTTTCTGAAAATCTGTTTTTGCCATTAGAAAACTTTAAAAACACCTTTGAATTAATTCATTTAAAATGAGTTTGCTTTGGTGATAGCAAGAGCAATGGTATTATTAAACATATGTAACATGCATTTCTTAAAATGAGATTTCATTCATTTCCCACCTCAAATAAAGCTCTTACGGCTTAAGAGCAATAAGACTGAAGACTCTTAGTTTCTTTCTCCCTTTTTGAGAGTGGTTGTTCATGTTTTTACATCTTTCTGAGCCTCTGTGAAACTTATCTTGGCTTTGGTTCTTTATAGAGCTTAATATTGGAAAATATTTGAGTTTTTTAATATTTTACTTAGCTATAATTTCTACTTTTCAAATATTTATTCTTATTTTTTCCCTTTAAATCAAGTTGCTTTCAGAAAGTGAATTATTCACCATTTTTTTTCAGAAGGGACTATGACCAAGAGGGACTTCTTTTTTAGAAGTCTCTTGCAGGCTCTCAAAACAAGAGCCTGAAAATAAAAGTTTCAAATTAGAACCCTGGAACCTATCAATTTCCCCTTTGACTTAATATTTGCATGTGTTGGGGAAAACTGTCTAGTTTGCTAATCTTAAGCATTATTCATAACTCCTTTTGGAAACAGATACATGTGTTATACATTGGGGCCTTCCCAGGTGGTGCTAGTAGTAAGTAACCCACCTGCCAATTCAGGAGACACAAGAGATGTTTGTTTGGTCCCTGAGTTGGGAAGATCCCCTGGAGAAGGAAATGGCAACCCACTCCAGTATTCTTGCCTGGAGAATCCCATGGACAGAAGAGCCTGGTGGGCTACTGTCTGTGGGGTTGAAAAGAGTCAGACAGTACTGTGAGATTTAGCACACACATACATTATACATTGGACAATGATCTCCTAACACTTAAATGATTATTATAATCCTAGTTTGTCTTTTCCTAATTATTCAAGGAATATGCTTCATTCTGTTAATGTTTTTGACAATCAAAAGCTTCTAACTTTGGAATGTTAATATTTTGAAGCAAAAGAGTAGGATTTAATAATGTTCTTTCTGAAAGTTTATGCTGTCTTTGTCCATATTTATCATGTTTTTTCACTTTGAATTTTAGTACTATGACATATCAGAGTTTGTTAGGTTTAAATTCAAAAGGAGTCTTAAGCCTCACTCTCAGAGAAATTCCTTTAGTCCAGTGTCTGAGATGTATTTTTTAAGGCAGTCTTGTTTCTTAATGCTTCATTGCTACTAACTCTAGAAGATGTTTGATCACTTTATGAGAAGTAAATAATGAAATTTGTGTGTTAAAAATGTTCAGAATCATTAATTTTTCATCAGATTGCTTTTTTGTCACAATACTAATGCACACTTTATGTACAGAAATTAATTATGCTGTATTTTTGTAAGTGAAAAATAAGGATGTGGGATCCTTTGCCATTTTTTTGGTACCCCTGCTGATCAGCCCTTTGAAAAGCCTCTGATGATAAAATCCAGGTAACTGGTGAACCCCTGACTTCTGTGACAGCCTTCAACTTGTGCTCATGGCTTGCTTTGGTGAGAAAATAAAGGTATTTGCAAAACGTATAAAGTACTTTGAAGCTGATGAAACTGGTCTCATTTACATTTCATTTATTATATATGTTATAGTTCTTAATCTTCCAAGGATTAATTCTGTCATTTTCTGTTTAATCATAGAAATTCTTTACTAGCTTGTGTCTTTTAAGCCTAGGAACAAAAAAAGACAAAAATGTAATTGTTAGAGTGTTTATAATTCTTAAGGAATTTTACATTGTACTATATTTTTGTTAAAGAACCTGCCTGCCCTTGCAGGAGACATAAGATATGCTGGTTCGATCCCTGGGTTGGGAAGATCCACTAGAGAAGGGAATGGCAACCCATTCTAGTCTTCTTACCTGGAGAAACCCATGGACAGAGGATCCTGGCAGGCTAAGGTGCATAGGGTTGCAAAGAGTCAAATGCAACTGAAGCAACTTAGCACGCACATACTTACTCTGCGTTTCCAGTTTGGAACAAGCGAAAGCACTTTGAGGACTGTGTTCTGAGTTCAGATGACCTTGTCTCCTCCGAGCTGCCCTTCCTCAGATGACAGTGCTATTTGTCCAGTTGAATAGACACCAAGTTCTCTGAAATTTGGTGCAAAAGCAAGGCAGTGGCACTCAGAGGACTTCATTTCTGCACTTTAGTTTCTTTCAGCACTTATTTCTCCTGGGATGTGAGGGGTGCAATGTAAGTCAATTGGAGAGGCATCTCCTGGGTACTGATCCCTGATGTCCAGCTGCCAGCTCACTGTAGCTTGCAGATGACTTGGACATGATGGAATGCTGGGTGATTCCTGCTTTTTGGGGCTTCTCAGGTGCCTCAGCATTAAAGAATCCTCAGGTCATTGCAGGAGATGTGGCTTTGATCCCTGGTTTGGGAAGATCCCCTAGAGAAGGAAATGGCAACCCACTCTAGTATTCTTGCCTGGGAAATCCCATGGACAGAGGCACCTGCTGGGCTACAGTCCATGGGGTTGCAAAAGAGTCAGATATGACTAAACAACTGAACATCAACAGTCCTGCTTTTTCATCTTGCACTTGATTCTTTATTCTAGAAATTGCCTCCCTATCATATAGAGCTGAATGCAGACATGTAAGAATAACTGTTTTCTCTGCTTGAATTCTAGTCATGCTCATTTACAGTTAGCTAGATGGAACAAAATGTTCCCTTGTCTGTCCTGATGTTTGTAACTTTGGAGAATTTGCAAAAGCAAATAGAAATATAGACAGATATGAATTTGAACACTCGCAGTTATACCTTTTGGGGACTGACACTCAATGACCCATCTTAAAGCAGATCCTGCTCAATGAAACAAGTCCTTTTCTGCATTTTGGGGCTATGGAAATTTCTCTGATCACCACGGATGTGCACACTTTTTATAAAATTCAGTGATGCAGACTTTATCATCACAAGTTGATTGATGAAACAGTATACTGAATTCTCTGCCTTGGTTATTTGCTGAGGTAACCGTGTGACACACAGGAGTATATATGAACTAAATTGTGAACTCCTTGAAGTTGGGAGTGAGGTTAGGGACTCCTCTTCAAAGCTAAGCCCAACACAGGATATTTATTAAATATTTGTTGGAGTTGGTCCTGGTGATGAGAACTTTTAGGAATTACCCATTGTATAATAAAACACTAATTTTTTTTTTAAAGCTTAAATTAGTGAAAACATTATTGGGTATATATTTTTTCCAAGAGAAGTGACACTTTGAAGTTAATACAGTGACCTGACCTGTGCTAGTAAAGGTCTTCAGGTGATTTTTCTGCTATCTCATTTGTATTTGAGTCTGTATTTTATCTTTACTCATGCTCTCAGTCTCTCTCCCTTCTTAAATTTTTAGTTTTTCAATTCTCCGATGTCCTGATCTTCCCTTATGCTTGAGGGGTGGAAGGTTTGTAGCTTCCTTTTTTTGAAAATGTCCATGATAATATTGTTATGCCATCTATTTAAAAATAAAAAGAGAATTGGTGTAGTGTTTTTTGATTTGTTTTAAACTTTATTGCCATACTACTACTTATACATTTAAAAATATATTTCTTTAGTTATGCCTCATTTTTTTGTGTGTGTTTTGCAACTAGATCTTTTATTTTTGCCAATTGGCGTATAGTTGCTTTACAGTATTGTGTTAGTTTCTGCCACTCAGCAAAGTGAGTCAGCCTCCCACTGAGGTCACCACAGAGCATGGAGCAGAGTTCCCTGTACTGTAGGTTTCATCAGATTTCTGTTTGGGTGGATAATGTCCTCGCTTATATTTTACAAAGACTAGACTCACGTTCTAGAGCGACAGGCTGTCTAACTCACAGAATCTTCTCTTAGCCATCTGGAGCTCACTGGTAACTGGCGTTGAAGTAAATCATGATGCTTTGACAGGCAGGATGAAGATACACAACAGACTCAGGGTGACTCTTTGGTCTCACCAGGGACAGTGGGAGTGACTGGGATGACCTAAGTATGACATGATACCCAGCCAACCGATTCTGTGACCAACTCCCTGAAAGCCTACTTGGGTTTCTGTAACGGAGCCAGTCTTCTAAAATTGTGGTGGAACCACAGGTCCAACCATTGGCTTCATGATTCAGCATTTTAATTTCATGCATAGCATTTCACTGTGAAAATGTATCTGAGGTAGTGTCTCTGAGGCAATTGCCACAGTAACAGTAATTACTTTTAGGCAACTCTCTCAGGTTCTAAGAGAAAAATATAAGACCTGCTTTAAAAAAAAATTTTTTTTTCCTCTAATTTTCTGTACAAGAATACCCAAAGCATCAACTGAGTTATTAATAATAATCACTTTAAAACCATCAAACTAAGTAAACTTAGGGGCAAAAAAGAAACAAACAACGTGATGATGCCTTTTTTTTTCTTTCTTTCTTTTTTTTTGCCATTCTCTTTACCCATAGCCACATTGTAATGCTTATCTGATCATTTCCTTCAATTAGAACAGATTCTATCAATAAAAACAACTTTTATCCAAATGAATTATAGAGTACCAAGATGCTTCCTTTTCAGACTCCAGTTGATACAATATCCTCCATAGTATTTAGAAATTATTTTTAGGGAATTATTGTATTATCATGAATTACATTGTTTGATGGAATTGTTAAATTTTTTTTTTTTCGCCCTCCTGTGCATTGGCTATAGTTGTGAAGAGAGAAAAGGAGAAAAAGAGGGTACGTTGTTGATTTTACACAGTATTATAGCGAGAGACCACACTAGCCATTGATATGAATGATAATTTAATTCTGTCTGGAATTAGGAATATATAAAAGCAGAGCTTCAAATCACATATTTTCCTGTTTCTAATCAACTAATCTGATGTCGATTTAATATGTTGGCTTAACTCTAGCCTTTTCACCAGTTTTGACTAAATCATAATATTG